TATGAAAAAGGATACCTTCTCCGTGTAGGAGCAAGAACCAGGGTCGGTTCTGTAATTCCTCTTTGCTATCACCTCGTTATGCTAAACTGTAACAAGATATATTCAGCATTAATTGCTAAAGGAAATTCTGTAAATTACCAATAATCACAAATTTCTTGTGAGCATAGGAACTTCTAGAGCTGAAAAGGTCAACAGTTCAGCTAACATATACTACTAAACAAATAATCTATGCCTAACTGTTTCACACACACATATAAGAATCTTCCAAAACATACTTATTTTGTAGCATGAGTAGATATTTTTTCTTTACTCAAATTAACTAACGTTAAGTCTGTATCTTGAAAATGAAGATATATAGTACTTGTCTTTGTGTCACTTCAGAAGATATTCACCTCTGCACACATAAGAAGCAAAATAAAAATGTATGTATGTGTGTATGTGTCACCTGGAAAATCCCAAAGTTTTTAAATCTATGAGAGTAGTCTATAAAATGTAGAAACTGAGATCAACAAGAGCACACAAGCAGGAATGACTTGCTTCCTGGCAAGTGAAAAAAGTAAGTTAGAAACGCCAAGGAGAAAAAAAAAAGACTAAATAAGACATTCTAAAAATAACAAAACACAGCAAGCTGCGTGGCAATCAACAATCAGGGAGAAGAGAAAATAAACATTAAGGATAGGACACTGAAGGGAAAACTGACTTTGTGGATATCAGTCTACACTACAAAAGATGACAGAGGGATAAGGCTCTTAGAATAGCTCTCTGTAGATTAGAGAGAGGAGATCGTGAAGTACATGTGTCAAGAGAAAGAAAAGACTGCATTACTATCAGAGTCAGAATTGGTATTTACCCACAAATTCTAGTGGAAATTTTGTTATCTGTGCAGCATATCCCTTCTAAATAATAATAAATCATTACAATCAGAACTTATATCCTGGACAGCAGTCAGATTCAGACCTATCAAAGAAAGAACCTGCTGCAGCATGATTGGGCCAGCAAGCCAAGCGCTCAGCACAAGGTAAAACAGGACACCTTGACAAATAGCTCACGATAAGGGTATGTCAGCATAACTTCTGAGCCTAAACTGCTACTAGCCACTGCTGACTTTTCCCTAATACTGTAGAAGTCAGTGAATTTTCAGTAACATTTTTTTTAAATCTTATTTGCAACAGACTGTCGAGGAAACTAAGCAGCAGCTAGCTAAGAAACGTCAGATAACTGCTAGAACACACAAGAATGGTAAACTATCTAAAAGAGCTACACTAGAACGTGATAATCGTTACAAGTTTTAGAAAAGGGGTAAACAAGGAAATTGCAACACTGTTCTTAGGTCACAAAAATATACCTATAAATATCAAAGTTAGTATTGTCAGGTGAGTGGCTTTCCTTAACTCAAAGGTAGAAAGCCAACCTTAATCTATAATCACATTGCCCCGTGTCAAGAAGTGAAAGGTACTGGGGGATCTTTTCAGCTCAAATTTTGCAGGTGCACTGCATCAATAATGCTGAAGAACAATTCTAGGGCAAGACTTTCAAAAGCACCCAATATTCATCTTCAAAAATGACTTGAGCACTAAAGAAACCATGCTTCACTGAAAAATCGGTACTATTTAAGAGCCCAAGTCTCTTGCACAAATGAGAACAGATGAAATTTTTAGACCTGCAATCACTAAGAGTCTAAACAGCCACTAAATGAGCTGCAACATTCAAAATAGGAACCAAGATGCATAGTCCAAAAAAAGCAACAGAGAATGCTGCTGAAGAATTTAGGGAAGATAGTCAGAGAAACTGAAAAAAAAAAAATAACGTAGAGAAGAAAGGAAGTAAGTGGACACAGTTTCCCAAAATAAATACTTTCAAGAAAGTGTCTATTCCATGTCAACTGAACATTAGACAGTTCATGATAGGTTTATGTAAAGTTAAACTCTAAAGCTACATTAAAACAATCTTAAAGATGCAAAACCAAGAACGCTAATGGAAAACATTCATCACTTTATTCAGTCCTACTTTATGACTGTTTGACTTTGTGAGCTGAAGGGGTCTTTTTAACAAAGTAAATATCTTAAAAAAATAAACAAACAAAAATACCAAAAACCCCTGCACCACAACAAGCTGGATTATCGGTGATCTTACCAACAGGGTTACACCTCCAGATCTACAAAGGACAGATCACCATTTCATGATACAGTAACGGTGGATTTTAGGACATTACTTCCAGTGTGTAGACAGTAAGAGAGCAAGTAAGACGGAAGAAAACACCAAATATGCTACAACTTTCCAGCTTTTTGCTCTCGGCAAAGCAGAAAAAAAAAACATACTCTAGTAGACTATAATGACTCCCAAATTCATTTTAAAGTACTACAGGGGTGTACGGTATGGCAATTACAGATGCCTCTACTCCAGTGCATGCAGCCTCTTCATGTATGCACACAGCTCTGGTCCCTTCTGCTCCACCTTGCTTCAAACTCCTGCCGCTCATTTGTAGCCTCCCATCACCCTGCCATTCCATTTTTTACACTCCAAAGTACCAGTCAGATTATTTCTTTCTCTTCCATTCTGTACTGATATAGAAACAGGAACAGCACATTTTTCTTTCTCTGTTGGGTGTCTGCACACGGCTCTTTTTGCCCACTCTTCCCAGTCTACCCTTTGAGGATGATGTCATCTGTTCACACCATCTTAACTAGCATCTGTACAGCAATGGCTTGTGAGCGTGTCTATCCATCCACCTACTCCTGTTTGCCTCCATATGGTGCTGCTTCTCCTCCTGGATGTCCCTCCAGGAAACTTAAGCTTGATATGAACAAAACTCAACTCCTTATCGTTCTGCTGAAACACTCTTCATAGAGCAAGTCTTTTGCCATTATTGCTTCCTGTAATACAGACAATTTTTCACTTTTTCCCCTCATTTGCACCACATAACTAAACCATATTAAAATCCTGTTACATCTTTCTCCATATGTCCACCTCTTTCTTTCTAACATTACAACCCATCCGGTGTCCCACCTTTGCTCAGGCACATTCAGAAGAATTAGAAAGTGAGACGGAGATTCATCTGTTCAAATTTATACAGGCTTCCCAACCTATCCTCAGTCACGCTTAAAGTGAGGCGAGTAAATCTCTTAAATGCATTAGCATATGTACCTTCACACTAGGAATCCTCTTTTTCACGTTACCCTTAAAAGCTATACTGGTATCACCAGTGTCAAGCTCCTGGGAGGCAGATGAACCAGAGAAGGTTCAAAGACCTTGACCAGCTGCTCTTGAGACTCACTAGGTGCCAGTTGTCTACACTGTGATGTTTGTTAGAAGTTTCTGCAATCTTTATCTAGGTATTTTCTGAAAGTGAAAAGAGTAGGGAATAGGAAGAAAGCTAGATTAATATATAGCCATTAAAGAAAAAAAGAAGTATGTTGTTACCTGAAGATAAATAATATATCGATTATCTGAGAAAAAAGTTATGTAACTTCATTTTGTACTTGTATTCACAACTTAGAAACATACGACTCTCGCCAAAATTCAACCTAAATTGCCATTCTAAGACATCTGCTACACATGAACCATGTTTTAACATTTAGTATTTTATCAAGCTTTTCAAAAAAAATTTATAACTTTAAAATCCTAAGTAACATCAAAAATCCTCACACTTACTTGAGATGAAAAACTACCAGCAGAACATTTTATACTCAGATATTCTTAAAACATTTGCTGTAGCAAACTAATTTAAAAATATTATTCGGGGTTGCGTATTTAATTTATTTCTAAAGTGTATTATAGAAATAGTACTAATTAATATTGACAGTATGCTATGGTTCTCCTCCTCCTCATTATCCGGTTGTGAACGCTGTTTACACTGATAGAACAGATCCAGAAATAGATGATGAAATAAAAAGGTGAAAATAAAGAACATCTCCCCACCACTCCAAAGTGAAGGTCAAGAATATCATGCAAGGCATATCCTTATAAAAACCTGTGAAGCCTCCAGAAAAAATTAATGCAGAACGGGCAAGAATCTTTTTTTTTAAAGTTAATAATAATTGTTTTGAAGTGCTAAACTGCCCTACCATACATGCAGTGTACATGGCATCAGTGATGGATCATGAAATTCGCTCTTTTTGATTCATGAGCTGAACGGGATTAACATCCCATCTTAGGGGTACAAATAATCCACAAGAATCCTGATATACATGGGGGTGTCAACTGGTCCTGAATAAAATTTTCTTTTTGAGACAAGACCTAAATGTTGACTTGCATATAAACATACTGGGTGAGATTCAGCATGGCTCACAGAAAAGATATGGCAGTTTTGCATCACAGATGTTCTCAGAACAAAGAGTATCACAAACAGAAAGTAGGTAAATTCAAATATAAATCACTGGAAGTAATAAACATTTAATTTAATTTATTTTTTTATAGTGTCATGTGGTTTTCAGTGTATACAAAGTAAAGAGTGAAAAGGTAAAAATAAAACTGGCATATCCTCAATGCATTCTAGAATTCATGCATCATCTGTAAATTTAGTCCTTTTATAAAAGGATCCTTATATAAATCGGGGGGGGGGAAATCAATCCCATATATGAAGCACAATTTAAGCCAACATCACTGACCAATCAAAATTAGTGAATGCACTGCATCTCTCTGCAGTGAAGAGAAGCGACAAGGTAGGCTGTCATTCTGCAAAAGCTGCCCATTGCAAGCTTTCCTCTCAGAAGCACTGCTTTTCTTTTTTAGAAAGCTTGAATCTCAGCGGTGTCTCTGGAGACAAGAAACCTTCAGTATGTTAAATTACTTTCATTATGTATTTTCAGATGCTTATTGATTCTACAGTAGGAAGAGTGGGAGACTGCAGCAGCCTCTAAACCAGAACTAAACCAGTTGTATACACTAGCAGTATGCTGAAACAATGGCACAGTACAGGCACAAATTTTCATT